GACGCCCCCTACCCCCCACCCGCCGCCGCCTCTGGCAGTGCTGGGTGGGTTTCCTTTCGCCCCGGTGTTTCTGTCCCCAAGTAACTTGTAGCCACAGTGCGTCACCAACCTTGGTTCCAGTTACAGGCTCCGCGAGCCAGGCTAATAAAGAAGGGGACACACCCCCACCCTTGGGCTACCGATCGCGCGAGGCCACACGAAGATAAAACACCGTGCAAAGCAGAATGAATGCCAAGCAAATAGTGCACACCCCCGCCCCCACCCCCGCGGTAATTGCGGGAGGGTAACGTTACCTAGGGCTTGGGCTGGTGGAGGGAACTAGAAAGATGAGGGAACTGAGTTGTGTGCATCTTAAAGGACAAAAAAAAAAAAAAAGCCCTCCGTTACCGTCTGCACCGCAGATGATTTAGGCATAAGTTGAACATTGTGGTAAAATAGTACAAGGCATCAGGTGGATGGATCAACTGAAGATCTTAGACTAGCAAAGTAAAATACTTCGATTTCACTCTCAGTGAGGAGCCATTGAGCATTTCAACAGCAGCCTCCCACACCTAGCGAGTTTCAGGACAGCTAGGGCCACATAGGGGGAGGGAGTCAAGATTAGAAGCGAAGAGTGTTTGCTTACTCTGGTCGTGTAATTCTTTAAAAACTCAATTTACCTGTGTGTGCTTGTTCATCTTTTAAATGGAATTAGGAATTCCACCGTTGTAGTGTTAAGGATTATCTAGGTTAATATGAACAATAGGTGGCCAAATAGCAAAGCATCGAGGGCTGTTGCTTGATAATCACCTGACAAGTGTAAGCTGTTATTTATTGGGCATGGTGCTAAATTCTGGAAACTGTTGGTGGTCAAGAAACTCATTAGTTAGAAAAAGCAGGTCTAGCAGAGGTGGTGGCAGTAGTTAAATGCAAAGGTAGGATAATGACCGAGTGTAGATGAAGGAAGGTGGGGGTTGTTGCTGCCAAAAGGTGGCATTAATAGATTCATAGCAAATTTAGTGAGAGGAATTGATCTGCAGAAGGCACTGCAAGTTGGAAGAACAGTGAATAGCATGGAGATTGAACACACTGTTTTGGAGTCACGCATGAGCAGTGTTTTTGGTGTGTGTAGTCGAGGGGATAGTAGATATGAGAACCTCAAAGACTCACATTGCTAATTCCTGTTCAGAAAAGGAAAAGCCAGAAGCAGCAGTCAGTCCAGGATTTTCAATAGAGTTGGTATTGCGATTACCTTAATAGGAGATTACATTAATAAAAATGCTTTTTCCGAGTTTTACCTTTTTTTTTTTTCTTATGTATGTGGCATAAATTCTGTATCTCCTATGAATAGGAATTTTACAGAATTACAGTACATTTTCTTATGTATGTGGCATAAATTCTGTATCTCCTATGAATAGGAATTTTCTCTTACAGAATTACAGTACAGTTTAAAAATTTTAGTGAATGTAGTTTTGTTAGATAGAGACTACTCTCTTTGATCTAGTAATGTCCCTTAAAATATGCTTTGCTCTCACTTAGTACAGGAGCCAGTTCAGTTAGAACTGTATTTAAACTGAACCCTCTTCATACTAATTCTCAGTTGATTTCCCTTTCCATCACATTGTTCCAGCAGTTAGTTAATTATTTGAAAAGCCCAAGCTGATCTTAAACTTGCAATGTAGCCAAGGCTGACTTTGAACTTCTCATGCCCTGTCTCTATCTCTCAAGTTTACAAGTGTGTACCACCAGACCAGGTTTACAGTTTTGGGGGGTTTGTTTGTTAAGTTTAAGGAATTTATTTATTTTTTTGCTGTCCTCAGATTTTTTTGCACAGGTCTTCAGAAGTACAGAGATTACATGCACCACCATGTGACTTAACATTGTCTTTTAAGGTGGATGTTGAGCAAATTATTTGGGATACTTTAATATAGGTATTTTCAGGAATTAATTGCATCTTGTAAGTTTTTGATTTCTTCGATTTTCACTCACTTCAAAATTTTCTAAATTTTTTTTTAGTTGATAATGTGAACATTTGAAGGTCTGACTAAAGGCCTTAATTATATGTAGAAAGAGTCCCTTAATTCAGTCTTGTTACCCTTTAGATGACTTAACATGGTTTAAAGTGATCATTAACTTGATGTGTTTAAATGATAAACAAAAGTAATGGCCCTTACTGAGTAGTTTATTTTTAGGGAGAATGTTTGGGACGACTATTTCTAAGAATTTCTAATATAAAAAGTCAGTGGTCTTAGAATTTCAGATTTAAAGTGAGGACAATTTAGATAACATGGTTGCTAACTTTAATATACGGTATTTTAAAGAGCTATAAAATCCTATACTGCCTCATAACATTCTTATTTTGTTTTATAAATTGCTTAATAAGTACTAACATTTATAAATGTGTACATTATACTTATTTTGTAATTAAGCGATGAACGTTATTTATATTTGATTTTAATAGGTAGCTACATCAAGCTGGGTGGCAGGCAGATCCAAAGGGATATCATGAAGTTTCCAGGACCTTTGGAAAACCAGAGATTGTCTTTCCTATTGGAAAGGGCAATCTCCAGGGAAGCCCAGATGTGGAAGGTCAATGTGCCGAAAATGCCTACAAATCAGGTAATTTCTCTCTTGAGACAGGTGTTGTATTAGAAATGCACTATTGGCATAATGTATATCCAGATACAGGACAACTACAACACAATTTAAAATATTTGTAATCTGGTCACAAAAAGATACAATGTATTTATGGTGTGGCTTATAGAATCATACAGTTAAAGTCATTCATCATATCATACACTAATGTAAGTCCCAAGTTGAATAATCATGGGTTATATTAATGGATCACTTTCCTTGCAACATTTCTATATTATCTCTAATATTGATTCCCTTATCAAAAAGAATTTACAAACTTAAGGATGTTTAGTTTGTTAAAGAATGAATAAAATTCTTCAAGTAGTTAACAGAAAATTCTGGGACATGTAAGATAAAATATTAACATTTATTATTTGTGTGTGGGTGCCATAGTGTTTATGTGGATGTTGGTTTTCTCCCTACACTCTGTGGGATCCAACACAGCCTGCTAGGTCTGAGCTGCAAGGACCATCTACTGAGCCATCTTGCTGGCCCTGATACCAAATATATTCCTAGTAAAATTTGCAAATGTTGATCTGAATGCTACAAATAATCCTTGAGACCAGACCCTTAACCAGGTACTCTTAGCACCAAGCTTACTGTGACAGGTGTTTCTTGAGGAGACACAACATGGATACAAGTCTGCTTCTCCACCAAAGTTCAAACTTGGTGAACTGTGGTTACTTACAGGAATATGGGGTCGGGCTACTTACAGGAGGATAACAAAAGACTCAAAGACAGCTATATCAAGGCCCACCCCTGCATGGGTAGCAACTCAAAACAAAACAACAAAGCAAAAAAACTGAAAATCTGGTGCACACTACACAGCTTTGAGGCAACTTAACAGGATGAATAGTGTCCTTCATTAGTCCTGAACCTTTTCCAGACAGCTCTAACACACATGACTAGAATTTGTATATATTTCAGATACCAAACGAGTTATTTTGTACAAAAGGAGTTGATAACAAGTTTTCTTTGTATAACAGTTCAGTTCCCCAGAAAAACTTCAAAATATACACTGTTTTTTTTTGTTTTAAAAGCAGCAACTCCAAAGGAAAACTTATTCTCCTTTGTCTTTGTGTCAGTTTGAGAAACAGTAGAGGTGCATGAGTGTTTGCATATATTGTTCAAGAACTTGATTTTCTAATTTAACATTGATTTTCTTCCTTAATTGCATCTGTTCTTTTAGATATCCAAGCATGTGTTGGAATTCCAACATTGGGATGTTCTTTTTCCCTTCTACCAGATTTTCAGCATTAACTTGACATCAGCATTCATTATTTTGGTTAACACACTTTTTAAGCCTTGGATACAAAATCCTTGAAGGTCTCCTGGTTAAGGCACCCACAGTGGGTGAATCAGCAGGCATTTCTGCCCTTCCTGCACACTGATCATGCACTGAGAGCAGAGGGCCTGTGAGTGATCCACGTGAGATAATTGCTGACAACCACTCAGTTGAAGCAAATTAAAAGTCATACCCTTTAATTGATGGCTGGACCAAGAGCAGGCTTGTATTTCTGAAAAGTCTCTTGGTTTCCAACTAAATTCAGGGATATAGAATTTTTAAAGACAAAGCCCATCAAGATCATAATATACATAAAAGTTAGATGAGGGTCAGAGTAACCTTGAATGTTTGCTCCTGGCAGAGCATAGTAATTGTTTTAGATATAACATGCCAATTATTTTTGACTTATGTCTTTTCTAGTTATTTTAGTCTAATTATTTTGGCTAATACAACTCGATTATGTTCAAGGCCATGAAAATTTCATGTGTGTTGCCAAGACAGATGTGAATGTTGGGGTGAGCAGAGGGCTGAGAACTGGCCAAGAAAACACAAAAAGGAGTCATAACAGTAGGGCATTAGTCAAGGCATTTCATCCGTTTAAGGACTTGCTTTAGTAATGCCAAGTAGTTCTACTTAATACTTTAACCTTAAGTGTAGGCTTGCTCTGGTGGGAATAGGAGAGGATAAGGGTTTAGGCTTAAAAAAGCAATTGTAATTCCTGGTCATGGACTGACTGGCCTTTCTACTGTTACATGTGGGTAAAAATAGAAAAGTGCAGTATTTTAGGGCTTCCTTTTATGCTGCTTGCTTCTGCTTTCTTTTACTTCCCTTTCCTTGTCCCCTGCAAGTGCAAAGCCATCTCACAGTTCTTTTTTAACTTTAGCCCCACCCCTAATGTTGAGTAAAATGTGGCTAGGTAAGAAAATATTCCTGTTACATCTGTGACTCCCCTCCCTGCCCCCATAGAACTCTGTACTTCTCTTGTGGTAACACAGTATAATTTCCTGGTGATTGACTGAATTTCCTGGGTGGTGATGGTGTGTCATTGTTTTCTGATGTAGTGTAGTATTGTTACTTTCTGATGATGTTTTGAGTCGGGGTCTCATGTAGCCTAGCTGGCTTCAGACTTGCTTTGCAGATGAGTGCTACCCTTTAACTCCTGATCTCCTGTGTCTCTCAGTGAGTGCTGGGGTTTCAGGTGTCTTAGAATTTATTCAAGTAGTCTGTTTTGTGTTCTTGGTAGTTATAGAAAAGTTCTTCTATAGAACAGTTGAAGTTTTTTATAGTTGCTTTAATGAATTTAGGGAAAAATTTAAAACAGTTGACACTTTCAGATAATCTACATTTATTTCCTAAAGTGATTTCCATTGCAAAGAAAGTCCTGCCACTAACTTTAAAGTGGTTTTGTTAGGCCATCTGATTATAAGGTTTCAAAAACAGGATTTATTCTAAGTCAGCTAAACACAAGGTATGCACGAACTACTTGGTGACTAGATAGATCAGAATTATCTAAAATTTCTTAAAAATTGGAAGTTTTCAGCTGGGTGTGGTGGAGCATTCCTCTAATTCCAGCACTTGGGATTTTTGAAAGTTGCAGGCCAGCAGGCTAAGAATAACACCCTATCTCAAAAGGGACAAGGATCATTTCATTCCTCACATCTTTATAATCTTAACTGTACAGTAAAAGAAACATTTTGTTTACTATCTCTGATAATGCAGTAGTGTTCCTCTGCTTTTTGGTCCATTCTATCTTAGAAAAGCTCTAATTTCTAATTATTACAAGGATTTTCCTAAATTGAACTTCAGACATGCTTCTAGTGAATTTGAGGAGATAGCTCAGCCAGTAGTTTTGCCTCCCATGCTTGAGGAACCAAGTTTGATTACCCACTTAAACTCACTTAAAAATGCTGTGTGTGGTGGCTCACACTTGTAGTCTCAGCTCTGGTGTGGCAGAGGCAGGAGAATCCCTGGAGTTCAGTGGCCAGCCAGCCTAATTATGAGCTCCAGGTAAGTGGGGATGTATTTCGAAGGAGTTGCACAGCATCCTTGACATCTGTGGTTGTTCTCTGGCCTCAACGTGCATACATTTGAATGCACACCAGAGTATGCACCTAATACATGATCATACACATATGCACACACAAATAATGCCCTAGCCACTTACTGGGTTCTGGTTCCATCCATGTAAGTAATGCAGAATAAATTTGTATTTTAAATGATGGTCCTTTACATACTTAAGCTAGGTTTTACTTCCACAAAGTTATCTTTTCAACAGATTTTCTCTGTGAGTGCGTGTATGTATATGTTTTACCATTCCAGTGTTTTCTTGCTCTGGGTAGACTAACGCATAGTGAATTAGACTATGACTTTAACTTACATTGGCTTATTTCATTAATCTGTCCCTAAACTTGTTTTTTTTAGGCAACAATGTGATGTTGGCTTGTATTTGTTTTTCAGTTGAATGTATATTGTGCATGTGTTTGGTTTTTGTTGTTTTAGTTCAAGAAGGACTAAGCTAGTTGAGGGCTGGACTTCACTTGGATGTGACTTTTTTACATGTTATTAAAAGTGAACATTCAGGAAATGTTTTAAGAGGAAAATCAATCTTAGAATTTGAACATAAAATATCTCTGACAGACTCAATGTATAGAAGCTTAGGCCCCCAACTGGTGGCCCCATTTTCACAGATGCTGGAAATAGGAAAATCAATCTTAGAATTTGAACATAAAATATCTCTGACAGACTCAAAAGCTTAGGCCCCCAACTGGTGGCCCCATTTTCACAGATGCTGGAAACTTTAGGGGCCAGACCTTGGTGGTATTTTGTTCCTGGCCTCTTCCTCCATTTTTGTTTGCCTCTTTTCTACCTCTTTCTGCCTTGTCCATTCTAGGATCCAATCTTGTCTTATCCTTTTTATTTACTCCTCTACCTCCTTTCTTCTCTCTCCTTCCTCCTCCAATATTTCCACCACTGACATCTCTGAAACAGTGAGGCAGAATAAGTCTCTCCTCCTTGTAAATGGTTATGCCAGGTACATGGTCACAGCTCTGAGAAAAACTAATAACATCAGCCAAATAGTTTTTTTCCTTCTTCACATTTCTGACCTCCTGCTCCTATTAGTTGCTTGTTTTTTCTCTCTCACTCTGTAACTCTAAATGCTCTTAGCTGCTTGCCTTATCTCAGAATGTTGACTTACCACTTCATTATTTCCTCTCCAGAATCATGGTTCATTCTTCAGGACCTGGTTGTTAAGCAGCAGTACTGTAGCTAAAATACCACACCCAGTGTTTGAAATGCATATGTGTATTTGTGTAACAAATAAAGTAAAATTGGGAAAGGAGTATTTCATCTATCTAGAGGAATGACTAAGCATGGAAGCAGGGATGATAAGGAAGATCAGGCTAAGTACTGTTATAGTATGAAGGTTAAGGTAGAAAGTGATATGTGTTCCTTCTATTCATCTTCTGTAAGTCTCCTTAAGTTTTAATGTTTGTTTAAAGTCAAGTGTACCAGATAAGGATATAGTCTGCTATTTAGAATGTTATTTCTCCCTCTTGATTTGTGTCTGACATAACTGTATAGTTAGTGTTGGCCTTGTTTCTTGTGACTCCTCGCCTGTTCATTGTTCCTTTTCACTCCCAAGAGCCTCCCCACTGCATCAGATGGTATCATTACCTACCTCTTGTGAATTTGTTTCTTAATGTTAGTTTATTTGGCTGGCTGAATTTTCCTTAAGTTCTCAATTTCTTATTTGGAAGAGACTACCTTTACTTCCCAGAGATCTTTAGGGGATAGAACTAGATTTTATTAGTAGTACCTTGGGGCTCCAAAAATACAGGAAATTGTGGAATTAAGGACCTTGCCAACTGAAAGTTAACCCAGATCCTAGCTGCAAGACTATAATGGTGTTCACTTGCTTAGTCAGTGGTGTTTTGTCAAAGGGTTGGCTATAGGTGGAGCTCTGTTGCTGGACTGCTTGTCTAACATACATGAAGGCCTGGGTTTAGTATTCAGCACTGTATAAATCAGGTGTGGTTGTGCACACATGTAATCCCAGTAGTAAAAGCAGGAGAATCAGAAATTTAAAGTCATCTTTGGCTCCATAACAAGTTTGTGGTGAGCCTAGGCTACATGAGACCCTGCCTTTAAAGAAAGAAACTTTGACTCCATTTTTCTGTCAAACAGGACGATAATCTGCGGACATAAATTTCTCTGCTACTCTATGCAGTAAGAACCTTCAGGCTGACAGCTTTATTCTCAAAACTGCCTTAAGTGCATTTCTAGTTTGATCATAACATTCTAGGATTGATTTCTCTGGGCAACAGTCCTGATTCTCTACCCACCTTAATCTTGTTTGTTCTTCAAGAGCTTAACTCTGTTACTGCCTTGAGTTTGCAATCATTCTGTCCTCCATAGGAAAGTCCATGGGCTTAAACACCAAGACTCCTGTACTTTTTAGCACAGATGATTTCCCCATCTTGTTTTTTTAAGATAGGAGTTAGTTCCCATTTCTTCTTCATTACACTCCCACACCAGTCCAGGTGTCCCCAGAGCACCATATGTAACTCTGGTTTAATACCATTTTACTGTCTGCTTGGCCATAAGACTTAAGTTTTGAAGTGTAAAGAACTTACACTCTTTTTCAAGTTTGTAGTGAGTTAATAAAACAGATTATAAATCATCTTTGTCTTTTTTTTTTTTTTTTTCCCCTCTTTTTTGGTTTTTCAAGACAGGGTTTCTCTGTAGCTTTGGAGCCTATCCTGGAATGCACTGTAGACCAGGCTGGCCTCGAACTCACAGACATCCACCTGCCTCTGCCTCCTGAATACTGGGATTAAAAGTGTGGGCCACCACTGCCCAGCCCTTACTAGTATTTTTATTCACCATTGTAAGGTTGTTCTAAAAGGGTTGACCAGAAGGTAGGTGTATGTTAATTCTCCACTAAAAATACTAGCTATAACTGAGTATAGAGCTAGATGTAAGAATTATGTAAGTGTAATACTTGGTTCAGTAATGTAGAAGAATAATACTTTGTCATGTCAAAGCTGACAAGAAAAGTGACAGCAAGTGGAGGAGGAGGACTACGAATGAGAGAAGTTAGCAGATGCAGTGGCAAGGACTGTAATGAGCAGAAAGGCATTCCCTGTAACAGTAGAGGAAGCCAAGAACAATAAAGCAGTTCTAGCTAAAATTCCTACTTGAGGAGCGTCACTCTGTCGAGACCATCATTGAAGATTTTAATAGCTGTTGGGTAATTTTGTAGGATAAAATAATTGGCTTAGATTGACAACAATCAGGAAAAGTGTGTGTACTCTGATCACTATACTGCACTTCATAAAGAAAGATGGCTTAGCATAATTCATTGCTTAGATATTTATTTTTTGTAGAATGATCCTTTATTGAAAACACTCTTCCAATTTGGTACTTCATGTATTTACATTGTGCAGTTTGTGGTATACAAGGGGCTGGTGTGTATGGCTCCACTGGTAGTTTGTCTCCTCGTGTGAAGCCTAGAGTCCCAAGCACTACATAAATTGGGTGTGGTGGTGTGCCTCTGTAATCCCAGCACCTGATAGTGGAGGCAGGAGGATCTGAACTGTAACATCACCCTCAACCACATAGTGAGTTTGAGACACACCTGGGCTAATAAGGCATTGTGATTAGTCCTCAAAAGGTTCTATTAATTTAGCATCAGTAGTATACTAGTTGTTTAGTAGTGACTGAAACTCAAATAAAAGTAAAATAATCCCTGCTATTTTAAAGTGTGTTTTTACCTTTTAAAACGTAAGCCTTTACTCAAAAATTCAAAATAGTATTTAAGGAAATTAAAATGATTGTTTTGCTATTTAAATTGGTAGTTCATTTATATTTCCTAAGATAAGCTAATAATGGGTTTTTCCTGACTCAGAAATTATATTAGTCTCAAGAGCTGAGAAAATTTAAAAATTACCATCAGTAGTCATTTCCTTAAATTTTAAAATTAAAATGTTCTGTTTCCCGAATATCTGAACGTAATTCAAATTGTAGATACTTGGTGAAATGAAGAGTGAAGATTTTAATAAATCATCAGATAATATTAAATGCAATATAGCATATAATATGTCCATCTAAAGTGCGATTTTGAATGACCTTAAAATATTTTAACTTACTAGTGTATTCCTTAATGTTTAAAATTTCATTACATTATTAATTTTGTTTATGTATTTGAATATGTGTGTGCCATAGCACATGTTGGAGGTTAGAGGACAACTTGTGGAAGTGATTCTCTCCTTTTACTGTGAGTCTCAGTGATTGAACTTGGGTTATCAAGCTTGTCAGCAAGTGCCTTTCCCTGCTGAGCTGTCTTGTCAGCCATATATTTAGAGAACTCTAAATGTATACTAATGCTAACTGGATCTTTGTAATTTTTTTTTCTTTAATTATTCCCTTGTAGAACGTTTCTCCATCCCAGAGAGATGAAGTAATTCAATGGTTGGCCAAACTCAAATACCAGTTCAACCTTTATCCAGAAACATTTGCTCTAGCAAGCAGTCTTTTGGACAGGTTTTTAGCTACAGTAAAAGTAAGTATTGTAAGATACACTCAAATAACAGCTTCTTGTGCAAGGACTTCCATGTTAAGCCATAGGTCACTAGTGAGCATACTGTCATGGCAGATGTAGAGATGTCAGGAGGACAGTACTTTTTGTTTTAAAATTTTGGAAATGGCTCAGGTCATTTCCACACCATTTATTCCACACCATTTATTTTGCCTAGGAAGATATAAACTGGGGGAACTGTGTGAGCTAAATGTATATTTAGGTTTTAAAAACAAAATGCTCAGTTCAATATAATCACTAATGTTGCTTTTTCTCCTTTTCAAAATTTTAGGCCCATCCAAAATATTTGAATTGTATTGCAATCAGCTGTTTTTTTCTAGCTGCTAAAACTGTTGAAGAAGATGAGGTAATGACTACTTTTCAACGTTTATTCTTAATGTTTTGGTAGGTTTGGCTTGGAGGGTCTTTTTCATTTGTTTAATGAAACCTTTATTACTAGATATGTAAGTGTTATACTCCTAAGGGGAAAGGTTTCCCCAGTAGTGTTGTTCCTCTGAGAGGACAGGTATCCTGTCCTCAGAACTAAGCAGGAGACAGGCTTTCTATAGGGTTTCTTAGGGAGGGGGGCTTTCTAGTGACCTGAAATTAGTGGGATTCTGTGGCCTGATCTTGGGGCAAGCTCAGAGACTGGTGGAATTCTGGGTCTGATCGTAGGCTTTTTTTTCTCTGTAGGGTGGGGCTTAGCCAGCTTTGTCTGGTCTCCAGGGGCTGGACATGGCAATTAGAGTAGTCTGGGAGCAGGGGCTGGTCATTTGCTCCTCAGGGGCTTAAAAATGAATGCTGTGTTATAAACTACAGGTTCAGTTAAGTGTTTAGATGTGTTGTCTCTCTCAAATGCTTGCTTTAGGAGATCGACTATCTTTTTTAAAATTTATCTTTATTTTATGTGTATTAGTGTTTTGCCTGAATGCATGCATGTGTACTGTATTCCGGTACACACAGGTCAGGAAAGGGCATTGGAATCCCTGGTACTGGAGTTAAGACAGTTATGAGTCACCATGTAGGTACAGGGAATTGAACTCAGGTTCAGGAAGAACAGCCACTGCTTTTAACCACTGAGCCACCTCTCCAGTTCATTTTATTTTTTGAATTTTTTATACATTTTGTTTGTCAGAACAAGTATTGAAAATGAGTCATTTGTTTCCCATTTGTTTTGCCTTGGATAGAAAATTCCAGTACTAAAGGTATTGGCGAGGGACAGTTTCTGTGGCTGTTCCACATCTGAGATTTTGAGAATGGAGAGAATTATTCTGGATAAGTTGAATTGGGATCTTCACACAGCCACACCATTGGATTTCCTTCACATTGTGAGTATATCCACATGTTTTAGTTCTTACTTGAACACATAGTTCTGGTCCAGTAACTTGGACAGAGGCTACCTGTTGATGTATTTTGTATGGTTTGGGAGAAACCTATTGAAATTAGTCAAGGAAAAATTAGATTCTGAAATATCTAATCACTGAATTACAAGCTTGTATAGTATCCTAGAAGTTATTTCTTTCTATGTATGCTTTCTTAGTTATTGCCCTTAAATAACAGTTTTGTGGTTTTTCTCCCCTCCCCTAGTTCCATGCCATTGCGGTGTCAACTAGGCCTCAGTTACTTTTCAGTTTGCCCAAATTGAGCCCGTCTCAACATTTGGCATTCCTGACCAAGCAACTACTCCACTGTATGACCTGCAGCCAACTTCTGCAGTTCAAAGGATCCATGCTTGCTCTGGCCATGGTTAGTCTGGAAATGGAGAAACTTATTCCTGATTGGCTTCCTCTTACAATTGAACTGCTTCAGAAAGCACAGGTAGCTGTCATCTTCAATTGTGTTCATTACACTTTTTTTTTTCTTTAATGGAATCAAGAGGGTTACTGTATGGTTCTAAAATAAAACTAAGAGGAATTGGAGATTTATTTAGCTCAGTGGTAGAGAAGGCCCTGGGTTCAATCCTCAGCTTAAAATTTAAAAAAAAAAAAAAAAATGAGTTTGTAACTGGCATTTCCAAATGGTTTCGGGTATTAACCACCTCAGTACAATGAGAAGTTTAGATAGAGAAAATTCTGTTCAGATGTAGTAAAGTAATAGTTCGGTGTGTGAGTAACTATTTAAAAGCCTTGTTCTACTCATTCCACCTGAGAGAATTGTGGTGTCCATAGAGATTAATGATTTTTTTTTTTTTAAGGATTTACTTATTTATTATGTATACAGTATTCTGTCTGCATATATCCCTGTAGGCCAGAAGAGGGCACCAGATCTTATTACAGATGTCTGTGACCCACTATATGGTTGCTGGGAATTGAACTCAGCACCTCTGGAAGAGCAGCCAGTGCTCTTAATCTCTGAGCCATCTCTCCAGCCCCTGAGACTGATGATTCTTTTTCCCTTTTCTAGTGCATGGCTCTATGAGTTACTGATTTTCTTTGTATGTGTTCTGGGGTCAAAGATAATCCTCATTTAAACTTGTCTTTTCCTTAGCTGACCAGATGGGATCTTAGAAATCACGTAACTCATTAATTACAGCTTCAGTTTAGGGAATTTGAGAGTTCATTAGAGTGGCATAGAACTTCTTGTTTGTGAAGGCTAAAGGGAGCCTGCAGTAGCTACCTGATGTGGGTACTGGGATTTGAACTTGAGGTCTCTGAAAGAGCAGTGTGTGTTCTTATCCACAGAGCCATCACCAACCCTTTTGTTTTGATAACACCCAAAACTTAGAGTCTAGTCCAGGGCTGGAGAGATGGCTCAGGGGGTGAAGTTCTTATGTGTAAGCATGAGGACTCCTTTGGGACCCAGCATGATGGCTGCTAGTTCTTCTGGGTGTAGATCTTGTCCTTGCTGAGTTCACCTGTCTTGATTTAGATCAGAATGCAAGGTCTTGAGGTTCTGGTATCAGAAGCTTTACATCAGATCATGTCAGTACTGACCCCTCCCATGTTAAGCAGGTACTGTGCCACTGAGTTAGACCCCAATTCTGCACAAATTTTCTGTCCTCACTCTGCCCGTGCTCCTTCTACACTTGGCACACATTCTCTGGTTTGAAAGGCAAGCCACCTCTTGTTTTGTTCCTCTTAGACTTCCCCCTGCCTGACCCACTCTAAGATTCCTGTGCCACTGTGGGTCTTCATGCTAGAATGACCACATCTTTCTCTTTACTCCTTTATTGTAGTTTATTTATATGCCTATGCTTATGTCCTCCATTTTCTGACCTATAGAGACCCACCCTGATTATCAGGTAATAATTAGGTGTAAATTGTGCTTCGGTTTCTCTGCTAAGCAGTGGTTAAAGTAGATGTTCTTATTTAGAACTGAAATAGGGGATTAGAGTGCACACCCTCCTACCGTGGACTCTTGGTTACTCTTGAAAGGTGCCCAACATTCCCACAGGTATTTTCAGTGTTTCGTGCTGCTCACCACATGTGGGTTCTCTGGGACCTATCACATGTGTCATGCTATTCTGCTCTCCTCTTCTTTGGGAACCTGTGTGATTGTTTTATTGTTGCTTGACACAGTCCCCTGGTCAGCTAAGTGGTTAGCAATGCTTTGTTGTCATCGTTGCTGTTTTTGACAAGGGATACTTAGAAATGGTCACAATATTGAAATTTGGTTGACATAGTCATAACATGGCTAGTAAAGGTTCTCAGAGCTTAGATGGTTTGTTTTAAATGCTTAAATTTTAAGAACAAGATCAAGGATTTGTCTGCATCAAGAGTTGATAATTTAGCTGGGCGTTGGTGGCTCATGCCTTTAATCCCAGCACTCGGGAGGCAGAAGGCAGATCTCTGTGAGTTGGAGACCACCCTGGTCTACAAGAGCTAGTTCCAGGATAGCCTCCAGAGCCACAGAGAAACTCTGTCTCAAAAAACCAAAAAAAAAAAAAAAAAAGTTGATAATTGTAGTATATGTACTTAAACAAGTATACTTAACTGCAAAAGCAGCAGATCGGGTTTTGGCTTGCTACTTTAAGAGGACAAATTCATTTTATGCTAGATTAAGATTTATTTTGATGTGTTATTTTGGACAAAGTTACTTTTGGGACCCCAATGGAAAGTAGAGTTCAAATAAGATGGTATTTATTTAAATAATTTCTAGTGTCTTACCATAGACTTTACCTCTAAAAAATACCTTGGGGGGCTGAAGAGATGGCTCAGTGGTTAAGAGCACTGGCCCCTGTTCCAGAGGATCCGGGTTCACTTCCCAGCACCCACATGCAGTTCACAACTGTCTGTAACTCTCATTCCAGGGGATCTGATGCCCTCACACAGGCAAAATAGCAATGCACATACAATAAAAATAAATCGTTAAAAAATAACTCTTATTTCTCTTTTTCATCAACATAGGAAATAGTGAGTGTTCCTTTATAGTACATTTTCAGGGTTGTGACCAGTGTACAGGGGGTTTAGAACATGAGAACATTTACTCTCCTGGGATGCCAAGTGCTTTTCCATTGTGATTTTCTCTGTTTTCTTTTGTGCTGCTTGAAATTATTGGAATCCCCATTCCTTACCTATTTTTATTAGTTTTTAGTGGGGTCTACTTCATTGGGCTAATAATTAGTTCTGGTCCATGTCAAGCCAGTCACTTGAGTTCAATCCCTAGAGCCCACGTAAAGGTGGAAGGGGAGGCACACACTCACACACCCTTAATAGTTAGGGACTATTAAAATGTCTTACTCCATGGTGTCTCATAAGACTGAGTGAACAAGATGGTGGATGCCAGAGTCTTCGGTTGTATATTCACTTTGCATTTGTATTCTTCCAATTGATTGTCTCCTGATTAACATAGTGAATCTATGTAGTGACAGAATATGTTCTTGTAGAGTAGGATTTATTCCCTATAGTATTACAGATCTGCTGTGTACTTCAGACTGTGTGGAGGTGAGTTAAAGATGGGGAAGAAATGTCCAAAATAAGCTGAATGTGATAGGGCATACCACTGATCCCAGAACCTGGGAGGTGGAGCAGGAGAACCAAGAGTGGTAGCCAGCCTGAGCTAGAAGCAGAAAAAAGAACAGCAAGGGAAGATAACTTCAAGATTCTATAAAATGTACACATGCATAACAGGGAGAACTTGATCTCCTGTACTCTATGGCCAGGATAAGCTTCCTGGAGGGAAATGATAACCAACCGTTCAGCATATAGAAGCAGGTAAACAAGGGAAAAGTGGAAAGGGGCCAATTTGTGTGTTAAATAGACTCCTGTTTGCAGGAGTATAGAATGTTAGTGTGGGGTACAGTGGGAAGTGAGTCTGGGAAGGAAGGTTGATCAGATTTATAGAGAGCCTTACTCTTAGAGAGTATGGCTTACTCTGAAGGTACTGCCATGCTGCTGAAGAAATGTGGAATAAAAGAAGTGAATGGTTACATAAGGTCATTCAGACAGGGCTATAAGTTAAAATTAAGGTAGACACTAGAAAGACAAAACTTTAAGGTCCTTCCATTGCACTCAATAACATTCAGTATAAAGCAATGGTTCTCAACCTCCCTAATGCTGAGATCCTTTAATACAGTTCCTCAGGTCATGACCCCCAACCATGAAATTATTTTTGTTGCTACTTCATAACTGTAATTTTGCTGCTGTTATGAATTACAATATAAACATCTGTTTTCCAGTGGTCTTATGCAACCCCTATGAAAGGGTCATTTGGCTCCTAGGGGGTCATGACCCACAGGCTGAGAGCCACTGATACAAAGGGGTGAATATGACATATGCCTAATTGAGTCTTGCAGTCACCAGATGCGAGCCAGGATGGCTGTGATTGTATGCTTTAACCGTGAGGGCATGTTGAAACAGAAACATATGACCATGGAGAGATTGGGGTGTTCAAGAGGTTGAGGGGGCCAAATGTTTGTTAAACTATGTAGTGTTGTTAATAAGTTTTACTATCTTCTACAATAATAGGATTTGTTTAACCTTTCCAGTTGTTTTAAAACAATACTTAACATATTTTAGCAAAGCAAACTTCCCATCACCCCTAGTTTAATGGTTTCCATTGCTTTTGACTCTTCCTTAAATTGTTGTTGACCACCATGTGCCTGTTTTCAGGAGTTCAGTAAAGGCCTTCTAGACAGACATAGCTAATATAACAGTGAACAAAGAACATTTGTGTTCATATAAGTGCAGGTTTATGTTTGAAGCATAGATCCAAACATACTTCAGAAGACTGCTCTGTAGGTGGAACAGTCAATGAGTGAGGTAAAGGATGTGGTAGGGGGAAGAAAGCTGAAGGGAGAGAAGGCCCAGGATGGAACTGTGGCTTGTAAAAGTAACAGTGGGCTCTGTTAACTAATGATTGATGTCGTTCTGTTTTTTTTTCCTGGTCCAGATGGACAGCTCCCAGTTGATCCACTGTCGGGAGCTGGCAGCACATCACCTTTCTGCTCTGCAGTCTTCCCTGCCTCTAAATTCCGTTTATGTCTACCGTCCCCTCAAGCACACCCTGGTGACCTGCGACAGAGGAGCGTTCAAATTACATCCCTCCTCTGTCGCAGGCCCAGATTTCTCCAAGGACAACAGCAAGCCAGAAGTGCCAGTCAGAGGTACAACAGCCTTCTACCATCATCTCCCAGCTGCTGCTGGGTGCAAGCATACCTCTGCTAAACGCAAAGTGGAGGAAATGGAAGTGGATGACTTCTACGATGGGATCAAGCGGCTCTACAATGAAGATAGTGCTTCAGAGAATGTGGGTTCTGTGTGTAGCACTGACTTATCAAGGCAAGAGGGGCGTGCTTCTCCCTGTCCACCTTTGCAGCCTGTCTCAGTCATGTAGTAGTGTCAGGTGTTAACTCCTCGTGCACACTAAGGCTGACTGCTCGGAAGTGAGACTAGAAAACCAGGAAAGGCTGTAGAGAAGGGCTTGTGACTTTATCAGACTGCGTGAAGTGAGCCAGGCAAAAAGAAAAACACCCTTTTCCTTTGTGCGGCTACTTACAATTCAACATTATTTAATATAAATGCATATATTTATAGACTCAAGAGCCAAGATATATTTAAAAGAGTTCTTTGTATTATGTCAGTTCTACTTTTTTCTTCGTTAAAATAATAGTTTGCCCCATGTCCAAAAAAATGAAGTAAAAATCAGTGTTTAGGGGGTAAAGTTGCAAAATTGATAGCTAGAAACCTTGTTCCCAGTGACCTCATTTTTTTCTCTCGCTTTTTCTTGCCTCTCTGTTAGATGCCTAATAAGTTTTGTGCTTGTTGATATATATGTTCTGACTTTTTTTTTAAAAAGCAATTCAGTAAGCAAGTTATTTTTGTCTGGCAGCCATCTTTAGTCCATGGCTCAAGTTCATTAGTTTGAAATGGGCACTTTGAAGCAAGCTATCCCCACGAATCAGCGGTAATAGAAAAAGTTCTCTTACTTTGTATGTCTCATTTCAGTTCTTAGTTTAAAAGCAAGATTACTGTCCCTTTTATTTTAAACCTTGAAAGTGATATGTAATTAGGACATTTGAGCATTTTTGACATTTGTTATAAAGAATTTCTTATAAAGTTAATATATCCGGGTGCTCACCGAAGAAACATGTATGTAACATATACTTGGGTTTTTGTAACTGATCTGTTTTCGTTCATTTACAATCAGTAGGAGCAATTGTCTAGATACTGGGGCAACCTTGATTTGAGTCTGTAACTTATAATTGAGTTCAGTACCCTGGCTTTTTAGTAAGTTATTAGGACTTTCTTGGTAACAAGTTATTCCCCATGTTTTTCTCTGAGTGACTTCCGGACCCTGAGCTCCTTTTGCAGTCTGAAGAAGGCACTGCAGTCAGAACCATGTTCTGGTGGTAAAGCCTCTGGTAGCAATAAAATGTTGTCCTTAACCCTGGTTTCCATTGGATTTTTTTGTTGGTTGGTTTTGCTTATGAGAAGGTGTGGTTTCTGACTTTTTCAACTAAGGAAAGCAGTAGGAAACCTAAAAATAATCTTTCTTGACCATACTATAAAAGGTGATAGGTGTTGAATGTGAATGGTTTACACATAAGAATTTCTCTTTAGTTAGTATTTTCTTCCTGTGGGCTGGAACCTACCTTATAGTTAACTGTTTAATGGAATTGCCTATGAGGGTAGTCTCAAGCCTGTATCTACGTAGTATCTTCAGGTCAACATCTGACTTTTTAGAAACTTGTAACTGCTTATTTTATATGACCTTAAAAATCCAGTTGGGGAAAGCATAAGGATGGGAGTTGGGAGACACAGGAAAACATGTAAAAATCGTTGTGTGTGCAAGGGACTAGTTTTACACAGAGACATTTTTATAAAACCACATCTCGACTTTCAGCTTTCTCAATTTTTGAATTATGGGATCTCCAGGTTTGTAATGTAGATGGTATGAATGGGACCCCTTCCACACCCTCACACTCAGATGGGTGGGTTAAAACTTGAGTCTGAGTCTGCATATCTGATCTGTAATCCAGAAGCTGCAAACTGCAAAAGTGGGAGACAGTAGAACTTTAGCTGCTTGATCAAGTTTCCTAATGCAGATGGTGAACATGCTGGCATGCATCTGTGGTATTGGCGGAGACCATAACATCTTAAAAACCAGTAGAGTGAGCTTGGAGTATCGTTTCCATGGGACACTGAAACGAGTGGACTCGGTTTGGTTCAGTGGTAATATTTGAGAGCCACTCTTTCAGCTAAACCTAGTGAACATCTACAGCCCCAGTCATCCCTCAAAACCCACTCTTAGATCTTCATCCTGAGACTAAAAGCAAACACTAGAATTTGGGTGAAGAATATTCTTGCTCTTTACCCAGTGGTTTCTTTACCTGGCCTTCTGCCCTCAGCTACTCAGGTTACTTCTTGGCATTGCAAACTACCAGGGTTCAGAAGCTTGAGTGAGCCAATTGTGTTGTGACTGTTTGTTGCCTCCTGGTGGTTAAAAGGTGCATCATCCTGGAATCCTCCAGAAAGGTCAAAGAATGGGCATGGTAACTAATGTCTAATCCCCAGAAAAAGTAGGAGCATGATGTAGTATTTGCAAGTTGAAGCTAGAAGCTATTTACTGCTTCATGGTTATCGGTGGAGAGAGGAATGCTTTCTCTACAAGAGTAATGGGAGCTGGTCCATACCCTAACTGAAAGGTCACATACAGGTTTTATTAGTGTTCCTGACACCATGGTTGGCTCTGAGGGAAGCTGATAAGCTATAGGTTCCCACTTTACTGTTTGACTGCTTAAGAACTATCCAAGTGGCTGCTGTGTTGTCTTTACATGTCTGATTTACTCAAGATCCTGAAGTGAGGCAAACTATACTTCACTGCCCAAAGCAGCGTGATGATGCCCTCTCTCCTTTGAGAAGAAAATGTGTTCAAGTTGTTGATGTGCCTGCAACATGTTCTCAAGGGGAAAGGGAAGGTACTGGCCAAATGTTCTCACCATCCTGAGAGGCAAACATCTTCAGATCACAAGGTGAGGGGTGAAGGATGTTTTTCATCTTCAGAGTATCTCAAATCTTCACCTTTTATTTGACAGGAAGTCCTGACAGGAATGCTATTTCTGAAAGCTCCCAAATTCTTGAACCTTTAATCTATGTTACTTAATGAGGTCTCCTGTACCCATTACTAAATAATATTTTGAGTTGTGGCCACTAGATGGTGCTCCCAGAAAAAGAATAAATCATCTTTTTAACTTCATGAGAAATTGAGTTGTTTGGGTTGACTGTGGTACTAGCAGATAAATGATCACCTGGCTCCTGATACAGCCTCACATTTTGTGGGTATAATCTTCCTCCATTTTGGGGTGTGTGCATATGTGTACTGTGGTGTATGGATGGAGATCAGAGGACAACTTGAAGCAGTTGGTTTTCTTCTACCACTGTGGTCCCAAGCTAGCGCTCAGGGCTGCCAGAATACGCACTGAGCCACGTCACTGGCCTTTGTGGTTGTAGTTGCACATGGATTAAGGTGTAGGTGGTGTGGGGTTGTGAGACTGAAGACATTAGACAATGGCTGCATACTAAGTGTCAGGCAAACAGAAAACCCAGAGCCACTTGTCAGGCACCCCAATGAGTTGTGTGTAGTCCCAAAAAGGAGACTATCAGTAAATAGGGAATGAAGGCAGTCAGATCCCAGAATCTTGCTGCTTTTGCTTTGAGTTGGGTTTAACCAATCATTAAGACATAAGAGATGAAGTGCATACATTTAGAACAACTGTCATTAAGGAATTAGATTGGAAGTTTTCTATTCCCTATCGATTGGTTTTCATGGGTTTTTGGATACACTGATGTATAAGATGCAGGTGTAGGGCAGAGATAAACTACTTAGGCCAACTTACTTTTTCATTGAAAAGGTGTAAAAGAGGTAACCAAGGATGTCTTATCTGCAATAGAAGTTCTGGGTTAAGGGTAGAAAGAACAACTCTTGACTCAGAACTGTTTCATGTAGCTGAGCAGAAGAAAAAAAATAAATAACCCAAACAGCTAACCTCTACATACAGCAAACTTGCTGTTCATTTAGTGGACATTGCAAAATGAAAACCATTGTTAACAAACAGCCATGAAATATGCTTGTGGGGGATGGAGCCCTATTGCTTTTCAGAGTAAGATTCATCTCTGATAGACAAGTAAGAGACATGGCATCCCTTTTCTTTGCTCCAAACACTAGGGATGAGTACAAGTAAGCATGTGGCTGTATTCTCAGCTCCTAATGTGGGCTGGGCACATGGTACAGAATTCAGTATTCAGAAGGGGAAGGAGTAGATACGGACAGGTAGGAGAGCTGTCCCTAAACCCCATGGAGAAAACGTGTTTTCTGAGCTTTTTTGTGTGTTGTTACTCCATCCCTCCCATACACTAAGTTGTGCTTTGTGGAAGGGTCAAGCTCAGGGTAACAGCCTCTGCTCCACTCATTTGGCAGCCACAATTTTAAGTTTCCACAGTGCACTGTAAGGCACCACCACCGAGGCAGACATGAAATTGTTGTACCTCATGTGATGTTCTGCAGACACCTGCAGATTGCACTTACAGCTACTAGTCAGGAATTGAGGCTGGAGGGGTGGGAATGGGCATTTAGGCTCAAAGGAACACACTCATTCCTTTCACTGTTGTGAAAATTAGATGGTAGCATTCTAGCACAAGGGTCTTTGGAGGAGCCACAGTGCCTTGTCAATCTCCATGGCAGAAAGATGGTTATCTGCAAAGCAAAAGGCTTTGTGTAGGTCATTAAAGATGGTCACAATTCTATCAGACATCCAGAAATGTTTGCCCCATAGTCTGTGTCAACCGTGAACAAAAAAACAACTAAAGAGTTTCGTATGGTTGGTACCATCATGTTGAAGTGTCTGGATGTTGGGTCAAGCATATTGAGATGTGTGCCTTTTTCTCTCTAATCGTCCCAGCTCAACATACACTGATTCAGGACATAGTTCTCCTTCCTAATGCACTGTGCTGGTCTCAAGCAGAATACCTAGACTACATTCGGATAAGCAAGTATTTGAAATTGTGAGTTATTAAAGTTTGAGTGAAAAATAAAAAGGCTGTTGCCATCAGAAACAGGTTCTAGTGGGTCGGTTCTGTTTTTCTTTCCCACAATCCAGATTAGGATAAACCAATACATTTATTGTTGCTGGTTACTGTCCTCGGCTTTCACAGGAGGACCTGAGGACCCACCGGTTTTGTCAACATTTGAGAAAAGAAACCACCTGCAGCAAAATGCCAGATGAATGGCAGTCTATCTTAGGAGACAGACCACGAGGTAGTTGGCCAGTGAGTTCTACAACCAGGGTTCCTAGGGTCACTGAAGAAGCTAGCCTGCTTGGACTCCCTGGTCCCAGGAGGATGGTCTACTCAACACTTCTCACCTAGGGTCTCAGAACAAAGGGAAGTGCAATAAAACTAGACACTCAACTTCTTCAGGAAAACCCGCTACCCAATTTGATTTTTAAACATTGCTCGAACCATGACCTGAAATGCTTTTTAAAACTAATGAATTGTGAGCACTCAGGAGGCAGAGGCAGGCAGATAGATCTCTGAATTTGAGACCAGCCTGGTCTACAAGAGCCAGTTCCATGACAGCCTCCAAAGCCACAGAGAAACCCTGTCTCAAAAAACAAAAAAACCAAACCAAAACAAACCAAAACAAAACCCTAATGAATTGTGGTACAAAATTGATATTAAATGATTGAAGGAAGTTAATAATAAAGTGAATTATAATTAGTGGTTTCAGCATGACTTCACATTTAACACAGCAATGTAATATTCTGGCATCAGAGCTGGTACCTACATTCCTTTCTCTAGTGACAGCACTGAATTTCTGCCATTGTACACTGAAGGGACGTTTGGGTCACCTACTAGCTCCAGTGGAAGTGACTTTACTTATGTTTGGAAATACTTTCTAGCAATGCAAGCTGCTTGCCAGCAAATTCATCCAGTTACTCTAAGCGACATCTTCCCTGGAATCCATGCAGTGTGGACCTTTCTTACGGAGGGACCACACCAAAGGCTTGTGACCAAACACAACTCAAACCATGGCATGAGCTACCTCCTATGGAGATGGAAATATTTTAAGATGCAAAGTTATAGACAAATAGTGAATTTGGAAGGTAATTCCATTCTTTACACTAGATAGGAATTTGGAAGTTGTCCCTTTTGTCTGAGAGGTGAATAGTATTTAAGTGTCCTAGCCTTGACAGGTCTGCAATGGAAATCAGAAGCTCACTCAACCAGCACACGTGTTTCTGAATGTGGGTAGGTTTTAAGTGATCTGGTGCAAATGCTTTCACTCCTAGCAGGCTTTCTGCAGATAGTGTGGGGAAGGAATGCCATGTGAAACCTGAGAAGACATGAATTGAAACTTTGTTTCCAATGAAGTTACTGGGGAGGAGATATATACATTATTTGGTGTTCATTTCATGGTTTAAAAAAGAATAAACCATGGACAGGAAGTAAATCAGGGCTCCGAACAAACACAAAGGCAGGAAGGGGCCAGAACTTATTTTAAGATATCTTTAAATATAAATTGAGCCCCAGAGGCAGAAAAGTCATTTACCCAACACTGGCACAATTCAAACATAATTAAGACGTGTAGATCAAAACTCTAGTAACAAAAGGGGGCATTTCCAAATTGCATCTAAGATAACATTATAAACAGAATTTTGAGCCTTAAAATTAATGCATTTTCCCTTGAAGTGAGCTCAAGACTGGCATAATTTTTGATACCAAAAGTAAGTTTGGATAACAAATACAAAAAGCAGGACTGGCTAGTTGGAATCCCCCGCCCCCAGAATGAGCAGAACTGTCCAAACAGCTTATGTAAGGGGTGCAGGTAACAGAGTCAAATAAAAAATGGCTCCTGAACTTAAAGGAAGGATGCCCACTTCTTTCTCTCAAGAGGCAGATGGTCAGCTGAAAAATAAAAACACTGTATCAATAGGACATTCCAGAGGGAAAACTGCAGCCACCTCTGTACATACAATAGCAAATATATATATTTTAAATCCCAAACCAAAACAATCCATAAAACTTAACAGAAGAGGGCAATGGTTGTCCCACTCTATGACCTGCTGATGGCTGAGGATCCTGATGGGCCTGGTGAGAGTTGCTCAGGGGACAGAGATCAGGGGTTACCATGAGCTAAGTTTGCTCCACAGGTGGTGACTACCTCAAGTGGGGTAGATGTTCTCTTCAGTCCGTAAGGTCTTAGATCAGGAGGTTCAAGAAAAAGGCAGCTAAGCAAGAGGATTCCAGCCTGAGACCTGGGGTTTGGGCCCAAGTTCTCTATTTCACTCTTTTAATTAATACTATTGTCACTATTTTTGGCAGTTGAAGTCACTTCGGTAGCCACTGAGGGTGGTGGTTTGTAAACACACATTGACAAACACAAACAGCAGTGCAATATTTGACCCAGACTTTAAAGGACGGGAGGCGATGGCAGAAATGAGGTAACTCTTCCCCAACTCGTGTGAGCAGGCAGCTCCTGCTCTTCTAATGCTGTCCATTAAGAGAGAGTAGGGCTTGGCAACGGGATGGCTACATAAAGAAGAAGCTACAGAGAGAAAAAAGAAAGGTTCAGATTCAAATCGATTCTTAAAGCGAAAGAAAAAAATAAAAGTGCACTTCTCTACAACCAGCTGTGAAGGTAGCAGTGTGTCTGTTAAAGGGCCAGTGTCACTAAGCACAGCTGGGGTGGGGGGGGGTACGGTGTGGTGGCAATGTGGACACCAGGACCAAGGGAGGGGAGGATGCCTCTACTGGACACTGAGGGTCATGGATGCACTGAGCAGGTGGGGACAGGAAGGACAAGTGTGGGGACAGGAGGAACGTGTGGGCTACAGGACACCAAAGGGCAAGCCTCTTGGAGAAGCTGGGCCAACCAGACAGCAGCACTGAAGTCCACCACACAAGGCAAGAGAGCAGGAGACAACGGCCACCCCATTTCTTTTTGTGATGTAACAAGCACGTGTGTGTACACAGGCATGTCAGGCAGGGACTGAAAAGAACTCACAAACGGGCACACAGAACAACGGTTGGGTAAAAATATATTTCCCCGCTTTAGGTCTTGGCACTAGTGATATATGCATAGGTCACCTGTCACCACACCATGTTAACAGACTCGAGTTACTCAGCAGGCTGCTGAGGCAGCACTTTCACACTTGTAGGAAGGGTATGGTTCACATCAATACAATTATTTTAGTTCTTAAAAAAAGACAAGTGTCTAACATGCAGCTTACATACATGACAATTCTGCATTAACACTGAAAGATTACACAACAAGTTTAGAAAACATTAGTTATCTTCAAACAGCAAAAATGACTGTTCTACAACTACAGTTTAAGGCATATCAGCATATTTTCAAATCAAGAAATAGACAAAGTTCTAATGCTGTTCACAGCTTAATTTTCAATTTATTTTTAAAAATTCCCTTCATACCTACATACAAACTAGACTCTGTAGGCCATAACTCAGCTAACAACCCCATAATAAATGTCCTGTCAATGGAACTAGGACTTTTGAAAACTGACACCTGACAAACCAGACACTTGTGAATGGCAAAGCCAAGGGATTCAAATGGACCACACAGAGACAGTATGATGCAGGTGGGAAGTAGACATGGGGCAACTCAACACTGACTCTGCGGAACACTTGGGGTGTGTCAGGAAAGTGAGACGACCAAGTCTACCCATCAAAGGGGCACAGGATGGAGAGGAAGCAAGAGCTGTTGCTGGTGAATAACAAAGTAGAGAAGGAGGAAAATGAGAAACCCAAAATCAAGTGGAACAGTTTCCCTGGCTGAAAGATGCCCCTTTGGACCAATTACTGCAGAGCCCCAGCTGGGAAACCAGTCCTCAACTGCCACTCAATTCTCATGCTGGCCATAAACTGTTACAGGGAGCATGGTCCAGAAGGAGCAAAAGATGCTCAGGGACAGGCCAAAGCCATCAGACAAAAAATAAAAGGAAGTGGCCACTGTGCCATTAGACTAAGACCCAGACTGTAAGGGATCAGGAAGGCCACAGAGACGCAGTTTTCCAGATTTCTGTGCAGTGGATGGTGAGGGTTTCTCTCCCCCATTGTCAGAGTCAAAGGCCTGCCACATGGTGCTATGCAGAACAATGACTGCAATCAGGAACCAGTACCTTACTTCCACTGAGATCAAGAGGAAGCATAAACCATGAGGCAAAATACAAAAGACAATTTAGCTTAAAGGAAGAAAAAAAAAAAAAGCTACTCAGACTGTACTTTCAGGACCCCTTCCAAAAGAAAAGCTCATCTGTCCCCTTTGTTTTCCCTAATCTGAAACAGAAAGATCTCAGAGTTCTTACTCCTGTACTTACATGCAAAGGCGAAAGCACATCCAATTAGATTTGAGAGTATCGTTTATTCCGTGCAGAGCCAGGGACTACTGTGAAGAAAGGCATAGATACCGAAAGAAAAGAGCAGCAATAACAAACTACAGGAGGCTTGGGAGCAGTGGGAGGAAATAGTTTTAGAAGCAATATAGGTTTTGCTTTTTTATGTTGTTTTTTTAAAAAAGCTTTTTTAGGATTCTCGTGGCTTTTTATTATTCCCTGACTCTCCATAGGATTTATTTTACTGTGAAAAAAGAATAAATGCAAAAAAAAAAAAAATCCAATCAATAATCTTGGCATCAAAAAGTCAATTGGATGATTTTTTTTAAAAAAATGTTTGCTGAGCTTATTTTTAAAAGCTTTTAGGGATGTGAGAAACCAAAGGCAAAGGGTTTGATTCTATTATCAGGCACAAAAAAAAAAAAAAAAAAATACTCACACAAGCAATGGCTGGAACAAGCGTACAACACAAATACCCAAGCTCTTGTGTGGTGCCCAGCAAAGAAGCAAATGCAGCCACGGTTAGTGAGCATGCCATTAGAGCCTGCTGCTCCACTGCTAGCTAGAGAAATGGAAGCAAAGCTGGTGTCTGTCTAGGAGCTCCTCCTCCATCAGGGAAGATGGGGGAGGTGGCTGCAGCTATTGCTGTGGCAGCTGCAGCTGCTCTGTGTCTTCTGTCCCAGCCTGGTCTGCACCCCAATGAAGCCAATTTCCTTACTTTGCCTAAGGAAGCCTACATCAGTTTATGAAAGACCAGAGCTTTCTTCTTATGGCTGAGAGATGAAGAAAGGGACACTACACAAACTTGGCTGGGATCAGATAGGGACTGGCTGGGGGTTTTTTTTTTTTTTTTTTTTTTTTTTTTTTTTTTTTTTAAGTGTGTGTCACAGAGGGGAGATGCAGTATGTTTATCCCATTCATGTGTAACTCACAATGTTAGAGGGAAATGTAAAGGCGAAGGACTGGGCTCATGAGAAACAGGGCAGTGGGAAAAGCCAGAGGATCTTGTTAGAGGGGACAGCCAAGCAGGTGACAAGAAGGAAAAGGGGCAAGCAGATGGGGTATATCCTGGCACACGAGTTAGCACTGTCCTGGGTGGAGGCAAAGTGACTGATGATCCCAAGAGACAGAATAGGCAGAACTAGTCACAGTGAGGGGACGAGTGAGGAAAATTCCTTAGAGACAACCAGGTCTCAACAAGAGCAAGGAGCCCAAGTGACCACTTCATTCTCTACTTTGAGTGATGGTGCATTGTGCTCACTCCCTTCCTCCCTTCAAGGAGGACATCCTTTCAGATTTGTGCTACAGGTAATACAATGTATAGCTAGTTTTCTATTCGAAGTATTTATGGCAGGTTCTTTTCATTGCAGTTGGTGAAAATTTCTATTAGAAGTAGCCATACATATCCTGGAATCAACCCCCAGGTCTCCCCTCAGCCTGCTTAAGGCAAATGCAGGTGTGTGGGAAGGGGACTGGAGGACAGGGGTGGGGTAAATCCCCTCACTGTAAGTGGGAATCCAGCATCCTTAGCTAAGCAATACTTAATGAGCTGGTCTTTGAGATCTGGACCTGTGAAAGCACCAGGGACTCCCTGGTGGAGGTGAATATAACCATGTTTCTTACACCAGTCCACAGCAGCATGGCCAGACTTTAGAGTGGGCATTCAGATGTAGACTCCATACTTAAGAGGGTAGGAGCAGACCACACGCTCAGATCAAATAACCAAGTGATTAAAACAAAAGGTCATACAAGTGAAAAGCTATCAGTGATGTCCACTCACCATTCTGCCTAATTTCAAGGCCACCTTTGGCCTGTGGCAAATGTGAAGAAGGGACAGTGAATTCAGGGGCTGTATGAGCATGAGATGAATAATCAAGAAAATGCAAGTTGTTGTCACGGCTACTCAGGGTTTTAGTTCAGCTGCTGAGGCGGTGAGTTTTCACATCAGACATACAGGTAGTATTTTACCCCACTGTCCTTGGTCCAAAGTGACACAGAAGTGACAGACATGCTTCCTGTTGCCACTTGGAATAGGCATACAAAGCAAATCATCGACTTTCCAGAAACAAAGTCCAGCCTCACAAGCGTTTGCTGTTATCCCCTTGTTCTATGGTTTCCTACCCCCTGACAACATTCAGCAAAATGAGCTAAGGGCTACTGGTATGTGGGGAAGGGTGCAACACAAAATCAAACAGGGCACAGACGACAGAGATGCGCTATTACTGCCAAAGCAGGTGAATGCGGGAGTGTCCTTGGCTTGGCCGGCTTTATGTGAAGCTTGCACTGCAAGTTAAAAACAAAACAAAACAAAAAAAGTTAGAAATGATGACAAATTAAATGGAAAGAAAATCAGGAGCTCCAGCACCAGCGTTCATTGATGGCCAATGCTCATGCAATGATTATGGGACTGACAGAAATTAAAAGGAAAGAAACCCGAGAAGGCTGTTCTACAGGAAAAGCAAAGCAAACTTTGAATACTGAACGGAGAGCGTGGGCTCTGTTCCCTTTTGAATGGAATTTATACTCATGAGAGACTTCTTGAAACCAAGGCACAGTCCAGTGGAAGGATCCACCATTTCATTTGTTTTCTCAAATAACACAAACTACTGTCTATGAGTAGCGGAGATCACACTAGGACTCAGCAGAAACTTCATCTTCCCCTCTGGGCTGTGGGAGGAGTCAGAGAATAAACAGACCAAAGGTGTCTCTGTACAGGTGACTTGGAGAAGAGAGCTAAAGAAAGTAATTTGCAAACTGGGATAGAGAAGATGGAGGACATGCTACTGTCCCGCTAGGCAGGGCTGAAAAAGAACATGGTTAGAGCTACAGCAATGCCAGGAGCTTTCCCCCCTCTTAGGACCAAAGCAATGCCAAACCTGGGATCTGCATGGCTAATTTTAAGCTACTCCACACATGCAACTTTATTACTTAGCAAAAACCCAAACTGGCAGTCGTTGCATGCCAGTTTCAAAAGATGACACTCAAAGTTCTCTTTGGGATCAGACACATCTCAACCAGCAAATGCCTCCTGGCAACTGTGTCAATCGTTTTTTTCTTTTTTTTTTTTTTTTCAGGACTTACCCTCAGGCAGTCCTACCACAGTAGTGCAGCTCCAATGAGGAAAGTGGCTTGGTGGCCAGAGAAGGAAGAAGGTGGGGTTCAGCTAATGGCAGGGCCAGGGTTAGTGTACATTGTAATCTTAGGAAATGCTATATGCTCTTATGCCACCTACTTATCTATGTTTTTAAAAAGGAGTATGTTGTTAGAATAGAAAATATAAAAAATAAAAAGAGTTTAAAACTATTAGAAAGTGAATTAAGACTAGCTATGGGCACACAGCAGATGGGGGAGCACACAGCAAATGGGGGAGCACCCCTCTGAAGCTTTCTGCTCAGCAAAGCCAGCTTCTAAGAGGCATGGGGTGACTCTCGAACCTGCTGCAGGGTTGACCAGGAGGAAGAACCTTCCTCTTCCTGCTCAAAGTGCTGTTTTTCTGTGGTCCTCTCTAGCCAAAGCCTTCCACTGTCACTGACAAAAAGAGGGGGATTTTTTTTTTCTTTTATGAATTCAAGCCCCCAACTAGCCTTGGCTTTCATTATACAAGTGGAGGTATGGAAAAGGATAACAACTAAGAAGCGACACAAAAAAAAATACATGCCACTGCCAGGCACCGAGCCTGGTCATTATTGTGAAACAAGTCTAACACCATTGATAGTAAATTAGAATATATAAATAAAGCTAAAATAGATTGTAACACAGATGTCGTGTAAACTTTAAAAGCATTATACACTGGTAAAGCCTAGGGTGGGACAGAAATTAGCCAGAATGTTCCAGAGCAAAAAATGTCCATTGCTAGATGGAGGTACAATAATTGTCAGTTCTTGGAATTTTTATTGCTAAAAGGCACATCCAGTATACATGAGATATTCTTTTTAACATTGCTGGTCTTTTATAAACATTTTTTAGTTTAAAACTTGTACCTCTGCACACATTAATGCTTCGGGGTAAGAAAGCCTACCCCTTTGGGTTTCCTAAGCTCTGAGCGACCAGCCTTCTCTCTCTCTCTCTCTCTCTCTCTCTCTCTCATTCTCTCTCTTTCTCTAACACATACACTCTGGCTTGCTATCTGGGGATGCCACTCACTGTATAAGGATTCCACTATCAGTATTAGCTTTCCCAATACACAGAGCAACAAAGAGCTGTACTGAACGAGATTATCGAGGCAGTGGTTTCTCTGAATTAGCCCACAGGTTGGTCTGTTGGACTCCTTTGGTGACTTGGATCTATACCAACCCCCTCCCCCCCCAATTAAAACCGTACGTTATCTACATGGACTACCCTGTTATTGCTTTGACCAGTTCCCTGCTCCTTTGTTCTCTGGACTCAGAGCTTGCAAAAGCAACGTGTGTAGAGCATGACTTCCTAGGCTTTCAATATGTCACCACAGTAGTACAAAGGCTACAGGCACACCACAGTTCCTTAGGGGTAAGCCTGCTGCGCACGAGCCAGGACTAAGTGGCGGCAGAACAGGGCTGGCTTGCCTGCCCTCAGGCAGTCTTGATCGGGACTGGGCAGGCTCAGTCCTAAGTGCTACATTTTTTAAAGAAGGAAAGTCTTTGCCTGCATCAGTCTCACCATTTTTACTATTCCCAGCCACCTGCTTTTCTCCCAGCACCTTAGCCATCTAAGGATGAAGAACCAGAACCCTGAAGCGGGTTCCATGAAGCAGGCTCCAGGCTCCTGGACGACTGTGCTAGCTCAGCAGGCTTTGGAGAGGAGCAAGGCATCCCAGGGCTTGTTATAGGGCCGTGGGAAAGTTTTCCAAGTGCTTCCCTAGCTACAGCTACCACCACAACACTGCCCACTCTGCTCTTTGAGGTGACTCAGTGGACAGCTTCAAACCACAAAAGTTCAAGGAAGCGTACTTTTCCTGCTGGTTTCTGAAAGCTGCTTCTGGGGCGCCACCAGAAGTGATGACATAAGAGCAGCACCTACCTGGCCCTTGGGCACTTGACATCAAGGCTGTGTTGAAACTGCCCTGTGTGGGGTTCAGGGGTGGCATGAGGGCTGCTAGGCTATGCTAACTGGGTGGGCGTTTGGTTGAGTTACAATAAAGTGATCATCTAGCTTGGTGAATTTAGAGACAACCCAGCACCCACCAGCTGCACTTTGGAATAACACAGTGGCTGGCTCACCATACTGTCGAACAGAGCAGAGAACCATGTGAACAACTGTGGTTTTAGAGTGTTCTTTTACCAGGAGTCAAGAGAATGCCTCCAGAGGCACCAAGAGAAACTTGCCCATCTTCTCTGAGGGCTCCTGGGGTTGGTACTGAGGCTGCTACAAGAGCTGACAGGCTACTACAGTCCTGACTGCTTGATCACCACAGTGACATTTATCAGTTAGTCCCTTGTACCCTTTAAAAATACCTTTACGAACCTCTATCATCTTCCCTGCACTGTAGAGAAAAATACTTGCTTTTATTTTTCTGGCAACAGACCAGTTTCCAGTCTGTAAGTAGGAAAGGTAGACATGCAAGAGGAAGAGATTGTTAGCGGTCCCCAGGAGGCGGGCGAATCTGCTTACTTTTTCTTATCCTTGTCCTTCTTGGTTTGCTGGGCCCCGGACTGCTGGGCCTGGGCCTGCAGGAGCTGAGCCGCTGCCTTCTTCTTCTGGAAGTTGCTCACCTCCTCCTCAAGATCCTTCTTCTTGTCTTCCACCTTTTTCTTCTCCTCTTGGTGTGTCCGCTTCAGGAGGTCAAACTTCTCGTGAAGCTGGGAGGGATAAAGGAAAATGGGCTCGGAGAAAGGAATAAAAACCTGAATGACACAGGCTATGTGGGCCTGTGTAAAATCTGTGTAGTATATGGCTGCACTTGCATAGTGGTGGTTTGCATAAAAATGCCCCCCATAGGCTCTGATATTTGAATGCTTAGCCATCAGGGAGTGGCACTATTTGGAAAGGATTAGGATGTGTGGCCTCACTGAAGGAAGTGTGTCACTAGGGAGGGAGCTTCCCACTGCCTGCAGATCCAATGTCTGCCTGCATGCTGCCATGCTTCTTGCCATGATGAAATTGTAAGCAAGTCTCCAGTTAAATGCTTTCTTACATGAGAGTTGCTGGGGTCATGGTGTCTCTTCACAGTGACAGGAGAGTGACTAGGATAAGCAGGAAGGATCTGGGTGGCTTTTGGAAGAGTAAGGCGAGGATGCTGAGTCCTGAGCATCTGGCACTTGAGCTCCTCAGGGCTAAACATCTCTTGGGCACTCTCTATAATAATAAGGTACTTCTTTAATTATTTACTATTCTTTTTGGTATTTTGAGACAAAGTCTGTATGTAGCCCTGACTATCATGGAACTTACTATGGAGACCAGGTTGGCCTCAAATTCATAGAGATCTGTCTGCTTTTGCTTCTTGTGTGCTGGGACTAATAGCATACATTACCATACTCAGAAATAAAGTACATTATCTTTGAAAGCATAAAGATGGCCAGCAAGGTGGCTTAGTGGCTAAAGGTGCTTGCTGCCAAGCCTGACCTGAGTTTGATCTCTGGAACCTACATGGTAGGAGAAATTGGATTCCTTCAAGTTGTCTTCTGACTCACCCCTTCACATACACAATTTTAAATAATGTAACTTTTTTTAAAAAAAGCATGAACAAAGTAAAAATTAACCATGAGCCTAATAGCAAAGTCACCCTTGTGACAAAAGTGGGTTCTTGTTTGGGGACCTTTATTAATACATATAAAATACTTAGAGATTACAGTGTTCATACATACATATTGTTCCTTCTCTTTCCAAACATAAGAGTGCTCGAGTGCGCACACACACACACACACACACACACACACACACACACACACACACACAGTTTAAATAGCTCAGTGTAGAAGGTCTACCATGAGGCCCTGTCTTGATCTTCAGAACCAAACAATAAAAACAATCACAAACAAAAACTGAGAGGGAGGGGGTTACCAAAATCTGAATTTCAATCCATCATTTTTCATTTCTCTGCAGCAAAAGCATTTTAAGCACTTAGCTATGTAAATAGTCTCTAAGCCTCACTGCCTTCATAGAAGGTTTGTTTATTTTTATGTGCATGTGTGTTTCGCCTGCATGTATGTCTGTGTACTACTTGCACACCTGGTGCCTATAAAGATGAGAAGAGGTCACTGGATCCCCTGGAACTGGAGTCACAGACAGTTGTGAGGTGCTGGGAACTGAAGCTCAGACTTCAAGAGAAAGAGCAGGCAGTTCTCTTAACCACTGAACCATCTCTGCAGCCCCAAGTTTCCCTAGTCTTTTAAAAATAAGGTAAGATGCAAACATTATTTTGGAGAGTATGGAGCCATAGGAAAGTGCTGCAGTAAAAATTCATATTAACAATGAGGCTAGCCTGGGTGGGGATCCAGGTGAAGTCAGAGGGGACCACAGCAGGAAACGTGTTGGTATAATGAGTAGTGGGTGTTATTCTTTTGTTTAAAAAGAAGAAAAGAGAAATATTGAGACAGACATATTGACTATAAGTTTATTATAAGGCGCGGCAGAATGGGGAGACCAAGAAGAGGAACAGGGTAATGGCTGACCGCCATGGCCGGTCGCCATAGAGAGACAGAGCGGGGAAACAGAGAGAGGGGACAGAGAGCAGGAACAGGGGGAGAGAGAGAGAGCGCGAGCGTAAAGGGGCAGAGAGAGAGAGAGAAAAAGGAGCAGGGGCCTATCTTTTAAAGGGGTCCTCTGCACCTGCGTGCAGACTTCTTTCCCATGGAACCTTGGACTGACCCAGGTACTGCCTGAGTGGATTCCACCAGGTAACAGGGGCAGGCCAGCATAATGCCTGAACCTTTCAGTGGGCACGAGTACGGGGTGTGGCTAAGGCTGTAAGGCAAAGCGCCTCCACTATTTAGCTCACTTAGTTGGCTGGACCCCAAATCTCACATTTGAAGTCTTATAAACTGAGGAAACTCACAAGCTGAAAAGACCACATGATCAGGGCTAGAGACCTAAGATCTAGTTTAGCTTTGGTGACTGCAAAAATCACTCAGCTTCATGGCTCTCGGGTGAGAGTATATGGCAGGCAGTGCTGGTGGGAAAGCTGATCTTGAGAGAAAGGGGAAGGAGAACCACCTTGTACCAGGGTGAGGTCC